TTGTATTTAGCTCATCTACAAAAGCTAAAATGCTATTAACTTAAGAGTCATATCGAAGCATCTTCTACATGGATGAATGACTTCACATCATTAAAGAGTCGTTACATATTGTCTTTGTTTCATCCAAGAGTAAATAATATTTAGTCATGTGTAGCTTATAGTCATATCACCCAATAGTAGTTGTCATCAAAAAGTCCTTGTTATTAGGTAAGAGTCTACTTTAAAGTGGTATTTTTTTATTAGGTTTTTTTGCTGATTTTGCCTATAAATAGGCTTTCTTTTAAGTTTTTTATTCATTTAATCAATTTAGAAAATAAAAATCATCAAGTTATTCAAGCTTAAGGTAGCTGACGACTAGATTGCTCTTGGGGAGGTTTCTTCAACCTTTTTGTTGAGTGAAAATTTAATTTCAACTGATTGAGGTAACTTTTGTGACATTTTAATAAATTCATTTTCTTTTTCTCAATTACTTCAGCTCTAATTACAGAATGATTGTGGTTTAAGTAGCGAAGATTTATTTAGGGATAAGTCTCTATATTAATTGTGTATGTATGAGTTTAAATTGCATTGTTTATCTTGAGTTCCATATCAAACCTATCATTACATTTAGTATGTGAGGTAAAATCTACTGTCTCATGGGTGCTTCTAAGTCATGCTAATGACTTATAGGTATGGCATGGTGATAGGAAAGACCATTCTACTACGTCTCTTCAGCTGGGCTTCTGTATGAAAATTTCTGTTGTTTTCTGGCTTGTATTTGTCTATACAACCCTAAGGAGGACCTTTCTACCAATATTGTTAATAAAGTTCTTTTAACTTTCAAAAAAAGAAAGAAGAGAATTCAATCTAAGTCCATCTCAAAATTCCATATGCACAGTTGATGGTAAGAAACTAAGTTCTCAATGCATGAATATGGGGTATCTCAATTTAGATAAAGCCTTTAAAGATAGTATGCTTAGTAAAAGTAAAAAATTTTGACTCTTTGTGGAATAATAAAAAAACAAAGGAAAGGATATTGCTTATATTATCATGATAAAACAATTGGTTTCTTATTCAAGGCATGCCATTTTCTTTAAAGAGCAAATGCTGCTAGGAGAGGGCAATGTAAGGAATGTAGAACTTGAAGAAATTAAAAAAAAAAAAAAAAAAAAAAAAAAAAAAGCACAAATTGCACTAAAAATGTAGGTATCTCCCTAACTATAAAGCTGATACAATTTTTCAGTAAATGTACATGGTATAATTATGTTGGCACCATCTAGCTAATTGTGAATTTAATTTTTCTTACTTGTACAAAATATATTCAACTAACTGATTTTTATTTTCTTCGAGAAAAAATTACAGATAAACAGTTTGAATAAAGTTCATCAATATTGCTGATGAGATTATGTTGAGTCACTAAATCATCAAGACATTGCCAGTTTATCTAGGTATGAAATAGTACATTGTTTTCGCTGTGACCACTTTATGCTTGAAGAGAGGTCTTTTGCCTAATATATCCTACATTATCAGGATCACTTGTTCATTTCCATGGTTATCAATTATGTTTATCATTTATCTAGCTCAAATTTGTCATTATTTTATGCATATGATGGAGTTTAATCATCCCACACATACATTGATATTATAAATACATTTTATTCCAACATGCAATAGAAAATCGTAGAATATTCTTTCATATATATATATATATATATAAAATTATAATTATATATGTATGTACAGACACACACGTAAACCAACTGGACAAGTCAATGTAGTGATACTTCAGGAAATTTGTATTACGGAGACAATTGATGAATCCCCACATCATATTTCTAAAACTTATTATGAATACTCTTCTGTGGATTCAATTTAGAAACGATTATTATTCTCTGCAACGCTTGATACAATAGCCGCTGAATAAAAGAAAATTAATCACTAAATTAGGTTTTGGCAAATAGTTTATATTGAAACTTATCAATCAAATGTTATTTTTCGTATCTAAATCCATATTTGTAAGCAACCATATACGCTTTTAGGATCACATGTCTATATTTAACAAAAGAATATAAATAAATTAATTTTAAGGAAATTAACTTTAAACACGTGCCTTGATCTAGTTATTGAAAAGCACAGCACATAATTCTAAAGGCTCGTACTTCTGTATCAAGTATTTTGGTGTTCTTAAGTTTACGTATACACACACACACACACATATATATATATATATATATATCAAATTGGATAAATTAAATATATACCAATACGACAAGGTTAGCCAATTATTTTTAAAATGGAATGAAGATTTGGCTTTAGTTTAGTGATCAACACGCCCTTCCATTCATGGGTTACTACTAATTAACCCATATTTACCTATTAATTGGAGCTTAAACAAGATCACACATCACATATATAATTAGCTTAGTTACTTGGGTGTAATTCAAAATCATGCTTAATTAATCAGTTTTTATCAAATATATTTATATAGTCCTAATCTTCCTCTTAATTAGTTGCCTGCGAGTTGGATAAGAAAGTTAAAAGAGTTATTGTTGGCAAATAATTAGGTTCAACCATGTGATTGTTTGGAAAGGACGGAAACATGAGTATGGAAAATGCTGCAAGGACATACTGCTTTTATTTATAGATAGTTACTTAAGCTACAAATAACGTTCACATGAACTAGTCCTGATCCAAAGCAAGCCTACAAGGAGCAGAAAATATAAGTATTGTGATTTCAATTCCACATCATATATATATATATATATAATTATTAAACTCCAGTTAAATTATACACCATAAATAATTAGAACCATATTTTTAAGTACTAATAATTTGAGTCTGAATCAGCTGATTTTAGACTCTTGAAATTTTAAAAATGATATAAGAGTATGTTTCAATTGTTATAAACATAATAGAGATTGAGAAATTCGGATGGCCTTCTCAATTAAGTATTATAATTAAAAAGAAAATAAAAGAACGAATGAAACTTGGAAAGAAAGGATTTTGGTAGATAAAGGTGATGGCTTTGTTGTCATTTCAAGTTACCCATTTAAGAGTAGGTTAATTTGTTGGTTTCTCATAAATGGCCAAAATAGATAGATACACTGTATATACGAGATTATCAAGTATATGTGCTTGGGGAAAAAAAAAAAAAAATGAAAAGGAAAAAGAGAATGTATGCTTTGAAAATGGGAAATTGCGCATAACTACGGTCAACACAGTGCAACCATGTTGATGTGTGTGTGAGTGTGTGTATATATATATATATTTATGTATATTTATATATGTAAATCCCTCAGTGCGTCAAAATAAATGGGCTCAAAGCCTCAACCTATAAGAAATTTCTCTCTCATAAATTTATTACTAAAATATTTCAAAAAGGTATGCTTCAAATTACATAATATTCTCATTATAAAATTAATTATGATTTAAAAAAATAATATCTAGTACTTGTTCATGTAACAGTTAATTTTATTGCTTAAACAAGTTTCCAAATTTTCCCCTTTCTCCAAGTAAAAATAAGTGAATATTTGACATTAAAGGCGAATTATTTTGGTGCATTGAATTCATCTTCAGCGAAAGGGGATCCTCTTAAATGCATTGAATTCTCCTTAAGAGACTCAACAAAGCAACTGCAACTTTGCAACTCCTCCCAAGAACCCAGGCTGTTGGCAGAGATACAAAACAAACACATATACACACACAAACAAACAAGAAAAAAAGAACTTACCTCTAGTTGGGCTGTTTTAACACCTACCTATAGCTATATATGTCTGCTATATTTGATATATATATATATATATATATATATATTTTCTTATAGACCAATTGTTTTTGTACGTACATATTGAATCAATAAGTAAATTTTAAATTCTCTAAACGGATATTATCCAAATTCTTATGTCTAATCATATTACTTTGGCGACCCAAAGAATCACAACAGTTGATAGCTAAGCTCAAACAATTTCCATTTAGCCTACCCACTATAAGTTATATATATATCATATGCATAGCAAACCTTAATGTTATATTTTTAAAAAATTAAAAGATTAGATTGAATATTAGTTTATTGTGATTATTTTAAGTAGAAGAATTTAGCATTCATTAACTCTTATTTTTGTAAGATATGGCAGGCCTTAATTGTTTTCCACTTTTTTGGGTTCAAGTCGATCATCCAGAATTTTCTAGCGAAGTGTACACAAAATCGATGGAAGGAGAAATTGACAAAGAGAAGGTCTTGAAAATTTTTGCCTCCGATCTGATTGGTAAAAGCTATTATAATATTCACAACGTGGAGTGAAACTACATCAAAAACAAACTATTTTGTAGTGGTAGATTCTAGTAGCTAATAGCAAAACAAAAAACTCAAAGACCTAACTTCAATAATATATATATATATATATATCTATATATAAAAGCCTGTGATTCTTTTTCTATATATGAGTACTGAGTAAGAGCAGTGTTTTAACACATGACATCCTTGAGGAGCTTGTACCTGCGCGTAGAGGGGCGAGGAGAGGGAGTACCTGTAGGACTCTTTCCCTTCTCTGCGCTGATCTCTTCGAGATGATGATGATGATCATCATCATGTTGCTTGATTTTGTCGCCTGAATATTCTGATCGGTTTGTGCTCCCACTTTCGTTTGCTATGGAGGATTTCTTTGAGGACCCACCTCTTGATGAGCTTCTCCCTTCACTTTGGCACCAATCACATACTTCAATTGATCCAGATAACTCACTGTAGAAGTTACTACAGTACCTGCAGATAATCAAGAAAATGTTTTTGAGTATTTAGATCACAGAAATTCAGACAAGTAATGAATCCAGCTATATGGCATCCTCATATCTATATGGTCAAGTTGGACTTAGTATCAGAAATTTTTCTTTTACTTTTTTGGGTGAAATGGAAGTTCTAAAACGGGTAAAATTTTCATAATTGAACTAGTCACGATGAATTAAAACCCAAACTTACCTTTTTTCCTTAAAAGAAAAACTTTATCATGGTGGAGATGATGACTGCTGATACGTAGTATGATGATGGTGATGATGATGATGATGTCTAGGGGTTACTGGGATGGGGCTTGATGGAGATGCGTGTGATGATCTATAGTTGTGATATGATGCAAAAGATGCATGAATTTATGGGCAATTATCAAACATGATCATAGATGTCAACAACGATACATACATGAAGGTATATAATATATACACACAAACATAAATTCACGCATGTACGGATCATGGATGTATGAATATACATGGCATAATTAAGTCATGAATGTGATGATATAACAAAAAGAAGTTGTGGGGAGGGATTAAATTCATACGAATGTTGAAAGCGGTTGCGGCATTTGTTGCAGCGAAAGAGCTTGTCAGGGAAACCAACGTCACCGCACATGCAACACACAGTTTGAAGATCCACCATTTCGGAAAGCTGAAATGGGTAATTTGCAAAACCACAGGAGAGGTAGAATATGTGTATATATGAAGATGAAGAGAAAAACCAAGAAAAGAAGTTGAGATAACTACAAGAGAGAATTTATATAAAGAGAAAAAGATGAGTGAGTAAATGACTTTTGAGTCGGTGTACATATAAAACTCATACCTGTTTTTTTTTTTTTTTTTTTTTTTTTCAATATATATATATATAGGAAATGCATACATAGGTAGACCACAGGTTGCTTGCAGTCGTTTTCAGTTAGAGAGAGAGATATGAACCTTAAAATTTAGAAGGGGAAAAAGACAGTTTTGTCCTGGGGGCTGAGATTGCTTGATTTCATTTCTAACCGATTTTAATTAAAATCTCGTCCTTGTCTGTTTCCACACTGTGCCTCCTCATACGTAATATCCCCACCTTCATCAAAGGTGCGTGTTTCCCCCTTCCATTACTTAATTGATAAGTTAGAATTTCAAAATTTTTATTGAAACTCTTAAAAGAGGATTTTTGTACTTAAAAATATGTTTAATTTTTTTTTTTGAAAATATTAAAAGTTATAGAGCCTTTAGCAGGAAAAAAAAAAAAGTAAAATTAAAAACAAAACTGAAAATAGTCTAATCATTAATTTAAAGAGAAATTATTTTCACTTAAAGAATTCTTGTTTAAAAGAGTAACTAACTCTACCATTCTTGATTATTTTATTAAAAATTTTCAATTTAAATTATTAATTTTATGAAAAACTAGAATTTTACATCTAACACTTAGAAGATAAAAACCAAATATTTCTACTTTGTAGGAAGGGTAGTGATTGGATAAAAATAAGCAAACACCTAGAAATAACACATAAGACAAACACTGGGCATGCAATGAATTCTAACAACTCATATCCTAAAAAAAAAAAAAAAAAAACCAAGTTTAGAGGCTACAAGGTAAAAAACAATAAGCCAACTCTAAAGGTGATCAAAGAATCAATTAATGATCATATGGATTTTTACAAAAAATGAGAAAGAGATTTCATTAAAGGAAGACTTCTCAATTTTTTGTTGAAAAAATAAAAGAGTATTAATGAGAAAGTAACAATTAAAAAGGAAAGAGAGATCAGAGACTAAAGGAATGACTTGATGGCAAGAAGAAAAGCAAACCTTTCTCATAAATGATAGCTCGAGAACAAAAAAAGACATTGGTCCGTAAACAAGGCAAGATTTAATTAACAGATGAGGACAACTCATTATTATTGGGGATTTTAGATTCTAGTATACTATATGAATAGTATAATCAGAGAAGAAGCTAATAAGACTTGGGAAGCAAATAAAGGAGTTAGAGTTATATGCAATGAATTAAGAATATGACCTTATTAAGAGCTAGAGAGAATAAAGTTGAGGGACTAAGCACTTTTTATTTCTAAGATTAGTAAAATTTTATTTAAAATCAATGTAACAATTATGTGTTTAATATCTTATAATGATCTTGTCATGGAATGTTAAATGTCTAGGCATAAAGGAGAAGAGAGTAGTTGTGAAGTCAGTTATAAAGGAATCAAAACTAATATGTATTTTAATACTGTAAGTTAGAGGAGGTAGATTCCATGATAATGACCCAATATGGCAAAAAAATGATGTTTTTTCTCTTTCAAAGCATCAAATAGGTTTTAAGGGTTCAACTATCTTGGGTAATAAGATCTTTATTTGTCTAATAATCAATTGTAAGTGATCATAATTTTATGACCACAGCTGGATTCCTATATAGTAGTAACCTATAGATTGTCCATTGTAATTTCTATGCTTGAATAATATTGAATAGAGTCGAATTAGGAGAAGAATGGATCAAATTACATATTAAAACATTTTTTTTTTGTCATTGGTATTTAGGGATAACTTCGATGTAATGTTGTATCTTAAAAAAAAGCAAACGAGTTGATTCAAGGCCTAATGCAACGTATGATTTACATGACTTCGTAGATGAATCATGGTTAATGCACTGGGTAAAAGTAGTTTGGAATTTCACATGGTGTAACATTAAGGAGAGTTCCAATTTTAGTTGGCTTGATAAATTTTAATTGATATGGATGGGGTAAAAAGATTATAAGAATGAAGGAAATTTTCCATCCCTAATATGACATTGGATTATGTGCATGTTCATTTTTTTAAGGAAAATTAGAGCCTAACGCCTTTGTAACATATCCAATGCAATTTTAGGAACGAAGGAAATGGGCAAATATAGTTGAAGAAATATGGAGTACCTATTATTTAGAAGCTTAATAAGCTTTTCCTTAGTAAGAAGATTAAGAAACGTGAGAGTAATTGTCAAGATTTAACAAATAAAGAATGTTAATTGCATTAAAACCTAGATTGATAAACTATAATAAGAGGTTAATGATTACATGAGGTTTGAAGAGGGAATGGATAGGCTTTGTAGATGGTGTCTCATAAGGTAAAAAAGTGGGGCTTATGGTAAAGAGTAAAGATTAAGGAAATTATGCCTAGACTAAAGTTGAGATTAACGTGGTTAAAGGAGGGGAATAAGAATGGTAAATTTTTTGCGTATTGATTAGGGGCGAGGAAAGTCTAGGCATTCATAACTTTAACGGATCCCCCAATGTCTAATTTAATTGAGATAGATAGAAAGGTGAAGGAACACTTTTAGAACCACTTTATGAAAAAAGGGGTGGTAAAAATGGTGTTTTTGATTTAATCTTAAAATTTTTATTAAATGCAAAAAACAGTCATTTAAGGACCATTTGCAAGATTAATATTTAGGAATCAATTAATGAAAGTGATAGGAATAATAAGAAAACTCGTCAATTTACTTAGCAAGATGGGTCAATGAGCATTCTTCTTCAACTTTGGGAAAGCTTAGGACTCAATGGAGTTGAACTTTTTGATGCTCTTATTAGAAGAGATGAATTTCAATGGGAGATGGAGAAGAGAGTAGCTGTGAAATTAGTTCTAAAGGAGTTGAAACTAATATGTATATTAATGGTATAAATTAGACGAAGTAGATTCTATGGTAATGACCCAATTAGAAGACATAGCCACGCACATGCATCAACACAGTAGATGAGGCCTTGTACTCGTAGAATGGGGGATTTTTTCCATGGGACGAAAGAATCCTTGTCCCGCAAGGATTCCTACAAATTTGACTCCAAAGTTGATTTAATCTCTGGTCCAAGGGGGATTCCTAACCCAACCTAACAACAAGGGAGGTGACCCAATAATAGTTAAGTCCATGAGTTTGGGACACATGAGGTGACCCATGGGCTTGGGAGGTTACCTAGCATGAAGAGAGGCCCCAGGTTGGGCCAAGAGGAGCTTAAGCTCGATTCAAATAGCTTTGGGACCCGACGGTAAGCACATGCCATGCATGTGATCAACTTAGCTCACATGTGCAAGCTCGAACGTGTGGGAGGAGGATAACCTGCACATGCAACATTCTCCCACCCGTAAGGAAGATTCCTCACACACTTCTCCTTCTCTCAAGATTTATTCAAAGAGTCTTTTTTGGACTTGACTTAGTGGCAAGAAAAAGATAAGGATAAAAAGAAACTCGATGAAAAGTCATAGAGGAAAATAAAATCGTGAAGCGAGTTTGAAGGGAAAAAGACTCCCACCCATGTGGGAAAGTCCAAACCGAGGGAAGTCTTTTTCCCACATGCTTCACATGGTTTTTTCTTGTATTTTTTATTCTTTTTTCAAGTGGGATTCATTTTATGAAGAATTCTACATGACTTGAAAAGAAGAATCCAAAGCAAAGGAAAGGGAAAAGAATTTCTTCTTAAAGGGAGAATCAACCAAGGGGTGGATTTCCTTCCTAAACCGCCCATAAAATCAAGAGAAAGAGGAAAAGAATCCATGCCTTAATGGGAGATTGAATCTCATGGATTTTGGGAGATTACATGAGCAATTAATCATTTCCTAAATTGATCATAATCCTCCTTAATTCTATACTCAATCATCTCCATAATTAATTAAGATATTCTCTATTTAAAAAGGGAGATCGTTTCTATCATATTTTAGAAAACAATAATTTTAATTGTTGCAAGCTTCTTCTTATATTTTATATTTAATTTTTCTGTATAATTTTTCTATTAAAATAGGAGATTATTTTCTTTATTGCTCACATGCCTTCACTATAATAGGTCATCAATTCCTACTGTCATAATTGAATTTTTAAAAATAATAAAATTACAAATTTTAGTTTAACTAGTAAGGTTTTCTTTAACCTTCTTGTTGAGTGGGGATTAGTGTTTACTTATCAAGGTAACTTGTAATATTTTCATCAATCTCTTTCTTGAATTAATTTTAACTTATTAAGATTTTCCATGTGGCTTTTCTAATTAATTTATTTATCTCTATTACCTTAGTTTTTACTCTTCTGTTGAGTGTGGCTCAAACAGGGAGAGTTTACTTAGGGTTTTGAGTTTCTAATTACTAATGTATATGCAGAGTTTTGGATTATGTTATTGATCTCGGGTTTTGCATTATAAAGGCAAAATCATCAAGAGAAAAGATAAAAATCACATGGTGAATTCGACCAAGAGTTCAAGACTCCTTGCCGAATTCTCCCACTCCAACCTCAAAGAATTTGAGTCTTCTTCAACTCAAACTCTTCAAGATAATTAATTAGTTAAGGAGAAGTCCAAACCATGAAGATGTTAAACATTCAAACTCGAGATGGACTCAAAAAATTGGCCAGGAGAGAAGAAGCACAATCCTAATTAGATTTGTTTCTTTAAGTTATTATTTTAATTCAGTTTTAGATAAAAATGATTTAAGTTTTTAATTAGGATTTTAATTTTTGAATTTCATTCAAATAAGTACGATGAAAATCTATAAATAGGCTACACCTCTTCAGTTATAAACATAACTTTTAGAATTCATAAAATTTCAAATTATTTGCTTTTAGCTTGTTGCTAATTTTGAGTGAGTACTCAATCAAATAAAGATTTCACAAATCGTCTTGTCGAACCAAACAATTGAATCTACTTATTAGGTAAGTTGTGGCATCTTTTTCATTCTAATTTTATTCTCAATTACCTTAGTTTGCATTCACAGGTTGAATGTACATTAAGTAAGAAGAATTTATTTAGGGTTTTAAGA